TGTGTGTGTGTGTTGTGTGTGTGTGTGTGTGTGTGTGTGTGTGTGTGTGTGTGTGTGTGTGTGTGTGTGTGTGTGTGTGTGTGTGTGTGTGTGTGTGTGTGTGTGTGTGTGTGTGTGTGTGTGTGTGTGTGTGTGTGTGTGTGTGTGTGTGTGTGTGTGTGTGTGTGTGTGTGTGTGTGTGTGTGTGTGTGTGTGTGTGTGTGTGTGTGTGTGTGTGTGTGTGTGTGTGTGTGTGTGTGTGTGTGTGTGTGTGTGTGTGTTGTGTTACCAGTCTGGTACAGGGAGGTGAGGATCAGGATCAGGATCAGGTCTGGGTTCATCTTCGGTCTTGACGGTTTCTCAGTCTGAGAGTTTCACCGACGCCTTAAACTCTTCCTTTATTTCACTTCCTCAAAATATGAACCAATAAGAAACAAGTTTTAAGTTCAATTTAAATGTCAAAGTCCTGGTTTAGTCCTGGTCTAGTCCTGGTTCAGTCCTGGTTCAGTCCTGGTCAGTCCTGGTTTAGTCCTGTTTAGTCCTGTTCAGTCCTGGTTTTAGTCCTGGTTTAGTCCTGGTTCAGTCCTTTCAGTCCTGGTTAGTCCTGTTTAGTCCCTTCAGTCTGGTTTAGTCCTGGTTAGTCCTGGTTCAGTCCTGGTTCAGTCCTGGTTTAGTCCTGGTTTAGTCCTGGTTTAGTCCTGTTTAGGTCTGGTTTAGTCCTGGTCCTGGTTCAGTCCTGGTTTAGTCCTGGTTAGTCCTGTCCTGGTTTAGTCCTGGTCTAGTCCTGGTTCAGTCCTGGTTTAGTCCTGGTTTAGTCCTGGTTTAGGGAACATAGAACCACAGCACGGTTCTAAAGTCCAAGTGTGAGTCACCCTCAGTTTTCGTTCAGCTCTGGTTTGGTTCTGGTTTAGTCCTGGTTTAGACCCAGTTTGTAGTCCTGGTTTAGCTCTAGTTTAGACCAGGTTTAGTTCTGGTTTAGTCCTGGTTTAGACCCAGTTTGTAGTCCTGGTTTAGTCCTGGTTTAGCTCTAGTTTAGACCAGGTTTGGTTCTGGCTTGGTCTTTTTCAGATAAAAGTTGTTCGTCTTTCTGGAGAAAAGGGAAGTGTGGAGTTTTATCTGTAAAAAACCAGACGATGTTCTTTCTGCAAAGAGTTTGTAATTTTACCACAAATTTACACTCACAGTGTAATCCTGCTCTGTCGAAGTCCTGTTTTAGTCCTGGTTCAGTCCTGGTTTAGTCCTAGTTTAGTCCTCAGTCCTGGTTTAGTCCTGGTTTAGTCCTGGTTCAGTCCTGGTTTAGTCCTGGTTTAGTCCTGGTTCAGTCCTGGTTTAGTCCTGGTTTATTCCTGGTTTAGTCCTGGTTCAGTCCTGGTTTAGTCATGTTTTAGTCCTGGTTTAGACGTGGTTCAGTCTTGGTTTAGTCCTGGTTTAGTCCTGGTTTAGTCCTGGTTCACTGGTTCAGTCCTGGTTTAGTCCTGGTTCAGTCCTGGTTCAGTCCTGGTTTAGTCCTGGTTTAGTCCTGGTTCAGTCCTGGTTTAGTCCTGGTTTAGTCCTGGTTCAGTCAGTTGGTTTAGTCCTGGTTTCAGTCCTGGTTCAGTCTGGTTTAGTCCTGGTTTAGTCCCTGTTCAGTCCTGGTTTAGTCATGTTTTAGTCCTGGTTTAGTCCTGGTTTAGAGTGGTTTAGTCCTGGTTTAGTCCTGGTTTAGTCCTGGTTTAGTCCTGGTTTAGTCCTGGTTTCAGTCCTGGTTAGTCCTGGTTTAGTCCTGGTTTAGTCCTGGTTTAGTCCTGGTTCAGTCCTGGTTTAGTCCTGGTTTAGTCCTGGTTTAGTCCTGGTTCAGTCCTGGTTCAGTCCTTGTTTAGTCCTGGTCAGTCCTGGTTCAGTCCTGGTTAGTCTGGTTTTAGTCTGGTTAGTCAGTCCTGGTTCTTGGTTTAGTCCTGGTTTAGTCCTGGTTAGTCTGGTTAGTCCTGGTTCAGTCCTGGTTTAGTCCTGGTTTAGTCCTGTTTAGTCCTGGTTTAGTCCTGGTTTAGTCCTTGGTTTAGTCCTGGTTTAGTCCTGGTTTTTAGTCTGGTTTAGTCCTGGTTCAGTCCTGGTTCAGTCCTGGTTTAGTCCTGGTTTAGTCCTGGTTTAGTCCTGGTTTTAGTCCTGGTTCAGTCCTGGTTTAGTCCTGGTTTAGTCCTGGTTTCAGTCCTGGTTTAGTCCTGGTTTAGTTCCTGGTTTAGTCCTGGTTTAGTCCTGGTTAGTCCTTTAGTCCTGGTTTAGTCCTGGTTCAGTCCTGGTTTCAGTCCTGGTTAGTCCTGGTTTAGTCCTGGTTCAGTCCTGGTTTAGTCCTGGTTTAGTCCTGGTTTAGTCCTGGTTCAGTCCTGGTTTAGTCCTGGTTCAGTCCTGGTTTAGTCCTGGTTTAGTCCTAGTTTAGTCCTGGTTCAGTCCTGGTTCAGTCCTGGTTTAGTCCTGGTTCAGTCCTGGTTCAGTCCTGGTTTAGTCCTGGTTTAGTCCTGGTTTAGTCCTGGTTTGTGTCTTTCAGGATGGATTTCTCTGAGGTCTACAGTGACTCCGTGGGCAGTATCTCGGCGGCTGCTCGGTCCGGGTCTTTGGTCCGAGTCCGGGACCTGGTTCAGTCCGGACTCAGTTTGGACGTGAAGGACAACCGGGGCTGGACCTGCCTCCACGAGAGCGCTGCTCAAGGGCACAAGGGCTGCGTGAGGGAGATCCTCCGAGCCGCCGGTGAGGAAACGTCAAGTACAATTCTGATCAGATTTAAATTAAAGCTGAATCCAGCGCCAAAAATATCGAAAGCAGATCGATACTAAAACATTCCGTGGATTTCCCGGTTTTCTTGTCCCGGTTTTTCCCGTAGCCTCGTCGTCGTCTCTGGATTTCCAGTCGTTCGTGGACGTTCAGACTCACGAGGGAGAAACGCCGCTGTTCCTCGCCGCTCAGAACGGACGCCTCTCTGTCGTCAAACTCCTGCTCCGAGCCCGAGCCCACGTCAACCTGCAGACCAACGACCTGTCCAGCCCCCTGTACACAGGTCCAGACCTGGACCAGACCCGGACCAGACCTGGACCAGACCTGGACTAGACCTGGACCAGACCTGGACCAGACCTGGACACCAGACCTGGACCAGACCTGGACCAGACCAGACCTGGACCAGACCTGGACCACGTCAACCTGCAGACCAACGACCTGTCCAGCCCCCTGTACACAGGTCCAGACCCTGGACCAGACCCGGACCAGACCTGGACCAGACCTGGACAGACCTGGACCTGGACCAGACCTGGACCAGACCTGGACCAGACCTGGACCACGTCAACCTGCAGACCAACGACCTGTCCAGCCCCCTGTACACAGGTCCAGACCTGGACCAGAGACCAGACCTGGACCAGACCTGCAGACTGGACAGACCTACCTAGACCTGGACCAGACCTGGACCAGACCCAGACCTGGACCAGACCTGGACCACGTCAACCTGCAGACCAACGACCTGTCCAGCCCTGGACCTGTACTGGACCAGACCTGGACCAGACCTGGACCAGACCTGGACCAGACCTGGACCAGACCTAGACCTGGACCAGACCTAGACCTGGACCAGACCTGGACCACGTCAACCTGCAGACCAACGACCTGTCCAGCCCCCTGTACACAGGTCCAGACCCGGACCAGACCTGGACCAGACCTGGACTAGACCTGGACCAGACCTGGACCAGACCTACACCAGACCTGGACCAGACCTGGACCACGTCAACCTGCAGACCAACGACCTGTCCAGCCCCCTGTACACAGGTCCAGACCTGGACCAGACCAGACCTGGACCAGACCTGGACTAGACCTGGACCAGACCTGGACCAGACCTGGACCAGACCTGGACCAGACCTGGACCACGTCAACCTGCAGACCAACGACCTGTCCAGCCCCCTGTACACAGGTCCAGACCAGACCTGGACCAGACCTGGACCAGACCTGGACTAGACCTGGACCAGACCTGGACCAGACCAGACCTGGAGACCAGACTGGACCTGGACCAGACCTGGACCAGACCTGGGACCACGTCAACCTGCAGACCAACGACCTGTCCAGCCCCCTGTACACAGGTCCAGACCTGGACCAGACCTGGACCAGACCTGGACCAGACCTGGACTAGACCTGGACCAGACCTGGAGTAGACCTGGACCAGACCTGGACCAGACCCGGACCAGACCTGGACCAGACCTTGACTAGACCTGGACCACGTCAACCTGCAGACCAACGACCTGTCCAGCCCCCTGTACACAGGTCCAGACCTGGACCAGACCTGGACCAGACCTGGACCTAGACCTGAACCAGACCTGGACCAGACCTGGACTAGACCTGGACCAGACCTGGACCAGACCTGGACCACATCAACCTGCAGACCAACGACCTGTCCAGCCTCCTCTACACAGGTCCAGACCTGGACCAGACCTGGACCAGACCTGGACTAGAACTGGACTAGACCTGGACTAGACCTGGACTAGAACTGGACTAGACCTGGACTAGAATTGGACTAGACCTGGATTAGAACTGGACTAGAAGTGGGCGAGACCTGGGATAGACCTGGACTAGATCTGGTTTAGACCTGAATTAGTCCGGGTTTAGACCTAGTTCCTTTCTGGTTTAGTCTTGGGTTGGTCCCAGTTTAGTCATAGTTTAAATGTGGTGTAGTCCTGGGTTAAATCTGGTTTAGTCTTGGTTTAGTTTTGGGATAGACCTTGTTTACACCTGGTTTAGTCTTGGTTTAGTCCTGGTTTAGACCTAGTTTAGACCTGGTTTAACCCTGGTTCATTCCTGGTTTAGACCTGGTTTAGTCCTGGTTTAGTCCTGGTTCATTCCTGGTTTAGTCCTGGTTCATTCCTGGTTTAGACCTGGTTTAGTCGTGGTTTATTCCTGGTTTAGTCCTGGTTTGTTTTAAAAGCCTCGTGTCCTCGTCTGTACAGTCTCTACTTGACTCTGGACCGGGGGTGGGCAAACTTTTTTGACTCGTGGGCCAAAAAAAGGTTCTAAAATTTGACAGGAGGGTCGGACCAGGAGCAGACGGGTGGAGGTTTTTGGTGATCCACCTCATAAGAGAAGAAAAATAACACGGGATACGTAGAAAACAACTCCACTCATCTTTACAGACGGGCTGAATACAACATAATCTGAATACAACATAATCTGAATACAACATAATCTGAATACAACATAATCTGAATACAACATAATCTGAATACATCATAATCTGAATACATCATAATCTGAATACATCATAATCATCATAATCTGAATACATCATAATCTGAATACAACATAATCTGATACATAATCATAATACTGAATACAACATAATCTGAATACAATAATCTGAATACATCATAATCTGAATACATCATAATCTGAATACAACATAATCTGAATACAACATAATCTGAATACATCATAATACATAATCTGAATAATCTGAATACATCATAATCTGAATACATCATAATCTGAATACAACATAATCTGAATACATCATAATCTGAATACAACATAATCTGAATACAATCATAATCTGAATACATCATAATCTGAATACATCATAATCTGAATACAACATAATCTGAATACAACATAATCTGAATACATCATAATACTCCGCTCCTCAACAAAGGTGAATGTATCTAGAGTGCGCCATCTATTGGGAAACGCCAGAATTGCAGGGAAAATAAGACATTAATGAGTTTTTTAAATTATTATCATTACTATTATTTATTCAAGTTTGGCGGGCCGGATTCAAAAGATTAAAGGGCCGCATATGGTCCCTGGGCCGTAGTTTGCCCAGCCCTGCTCCAGACTGTTTGGTGTTTCTGCTCATTGTTCGTCCTTCATGTTGTCCGTGTTGTGTTCGTGTTTCCAGCGGTGGACAGAGGTCACACAGAGGTCGTGCAGCTGCTGCTTTTGAAAGGAGCTGAGGTGAACCGGAGCCACACCGCCTCCTGCTGGACGTGTCTGCACCAGGCCGTCTACAAGGTCACACACACACACACACACACAAGGTCACACACACACACAAGGTCACACACAAGGTCACACACACACAAGGTCACACACACACAAGGTCACACACAAGGTCACACACAAGGTCACACACACACAAGGTCACAGACACACACAAGGTCACACACACACAAGGTCACACACACACAAGGTCACACACACACAAGGTCACACACACACACAAGGTCACACACACACACACAAGGTCACACACACAAGGTCACACACACACAAGGTACACACACACACACAAGGTCACACACAAGGTCAACACACACACACACAAGGTCACACACACACACACACAAGGTCACACACACACAAGGTCACACACACACAAGGTCACACACACACACAAGGTCACACACACACAAGGTCACACAAGGTCACACACACACAAGGTCACACACACAACTCTGTTTTTAAACACAGCTCCAAACTTCTGACACACAAATGTTTCTCCTTCTCGTTCTTTGTTTGGGATCAGCTCCACAAACTCGTCTTATTCATCTGGTTTAAAATCCTTTCATCTGAAACTCTCACGTCTTTGGGTTTGAATTTCACTTTGGGTTTAATTTCCTCCTGACAGAGACGACCAGCTCTGCTAGGGACAGAGAAGTAATCAAAATAAAACCAAGTTGTAAAATGGAATAAATGAAAATAATGTTTAATTAACAGGGGTGTAAAAGGTAAATTAACAAAAGACTAAAATATACAGAAAATAACCTAAACTAAGAAACAAAACAACAGAATAAACTGAGTTTTGTGCCACAAAAGGAATCACGCAGGTTTACACAAAACGAGTGGTAAAATTAAGGGACAAACATGAACTAAAACACAAGTTCCTCAAATTAAACCACAAAAACCCACAAACAGAATCGAGTGACCAAATCAAAAAAGGCACAAAACAGAACTAAACTAAACTCCACACACGAACACAAACTGGCAGACGGGGCACCGAGGCCAGCAGCCCCGAACAGGTGCTGATAATCTCCTTACATCAGGGGCGGAGTCTGCAGGTGAGGTGGGCGTCGACCTGCCCCACCAATCACAGACCAGGGCTCCCGCAGCAGGAATCAGGAGAACTCAGCAAAATCATTTAGAACGCACAAAACTAATTAGAACTAAAGCACTGGGGCCGTAACAGCCGCGCTGATGTTTTTTGTTCCCGTCCTCAGGGTCACAGTGACATCGTGGAGCTGTTGGTCTCAGTTTGTGACCTGGAGTCTAAAGACGATCACGGCATCACTGCTCTGTTCGTGTCGGCTCAGTACGGACGCTCCCGCTGCCTCAGGATCCTCATCGCCGCAGGTCAGAACAAACCACACTGACAAAACACATTGAACAAGAGTTTAAGACTGTGGTGCCCAGTACGTCGAGCTCCAAGACACTGTGGGTAGATCGAACTGTCGCAGGACTCGAGGCTGGTCTTCATACTGTTTTTTTTTTTTTTTACGATCTTGGTCTTGTTTTGCCATTTGAATATCTTTAGTTGAGGTTGGGTGTCTGATAAATGTGGAGCAGAAATCTTTAGGAGTTATGTGGAGGCACTGACTTCTGCGTCGACTCATCACAATCTGCCACCGTCGCCTTGTCGCTGTCGTTTTTAATTTATGGATCTGCGTCGAGGTCTCTGCGCCACCAAGTAATTCACTGCCACAACACTAGGAGGCGAGGATTTAAAACTGGAGTTCATTTAAACAAAATGAAGCGGGAAAGTGGAGTATCAGAAATGTTTGTATCTGAGGTGCATGTCTGTCGACTCAGACGTTCTGCGGAGAAGATTCAAGGCCACACAGACGATTTGACACACGACCATAAATTGGGCTTTAAGGAGACTAGTGCCCCCACTAGGGACCTACCCTTCCCNAGGTCACACACACACACACAAGGTCACACAAGGTCACACACACACACAAGGTCACACACACACAAGGTCACACACACACAAGGTCACACACACACAGGTCACACACACACAAGGTCACACACACACAAGGTCACACACACACACAAGGTCACACACACACACAAGGTCACACACACACACAAGGTCACACCACACAAGGTCACACACACACAAGGTCACACACACACAAGGTCACACACACACAAGGTCACACACACACACACACACACAAGGTCACACACACACACAAGGTCACACACACACACAAGGTCACACACACAAGGTCACACACACACACACACACACAAGGTCACACACACACACACAAGGTCACACACACAACTCTGTTTTTAAACACAGCTCCAAACTTCTGACACACAAATGTTTCTCCTTCTCGTTCTTTGTTTGGGATCAGCTCCACAAACTCGTCTTATTCATCTGGTTTAAAATCCTTTCATCTGAAACTCTCACGTCTTTGGGTTTGAATTTCACTTTGGGTTTAATTTTTCCTCCTGACAGAGACGCCCAGCTCTGCTAGGGACAGAGAAGTAATCAAAATAAAACCAAGTTGTAAAATGGAATAAATGAAAATAATGTTTAATTAACAGGGGTGTAAAAGGTAAATTAACAAAAGACTAAAATATACAGAAAATAACCTAAACTAAGAAACAAAACAACAGAATAAACTGAGTTTTGTGCCACAAAAGGAGTCACGCAGGTTTACACAAAACGAGTGGTAAAATTAAGGGACAAACATGAACTAAAAACACAAGTTCCTCAAATTAAACCACAAAAACCCACAAACAGAATCGAGTGACCAAATCAAAAAAAGGCACAAAACAGAACTAAACTAAACTCCACACACGAACAACACAAACTGGCAGACGGGGCACCGAGGCCAGCAGCCCCGAACAGGTGCTGATAATCTCCTTACATCAGGGGCGGAGTCTGCAGGTGAGGTGGGCGTCGACCTGCCCCACCAATCACAGACCAGGGCTCCCGCAGCAGGAATCAGGAGAACTCAGCAAAATCATTTAGAACGCACAAAAACTAATTAGAAGCTAAAGCACTGGGGCCGTAACAGCCGCGCTGATGTTTTTTGTTCCCGTCCTCAGGGTCACAGTGACATCGTGGAGCTGTTGGTCTCAGTTTGTGACCTGGAGTCTAAAGACGATCACGGCATCACTGCTCTGTTCGTGTCGGCTCAGTACGGACGCTCCCGCTGCCTCAGGATCCTCATCGCCGCAGGTCAGAACAAACCACACTGACAAAACACATTGAACAAGAGTTTAAGACTGTGGTGCCCAGTACGTCGAGCTCCAAGACACTGTGGGTAGATCGAACTGTCGCAGGACTCGAGGCTGGTCTTCATACTGTTTTTTTTTTTTTTTACGATCTTGGTCTTGTTTGCCATTTGAATATCTTTAGTTGAGGTTGGGTGTCTGATAAATGTGGAGCAGAAATCTTTAGGAGTTATGTGGAGGCACTGACTGTTCTAAAGGCTGAAGTATATTTCTGCGTCGACTCATCACAATCTGCCACCGTCGCCTTGTCGCTGTCGTTTTTAATTTATGGATCTGCGTCGAGGTCTCTGCGCCACCAAGTAATTCACTGCCACAACACTAGGAGGCGAGGATTTAAAACTGGAGTTCATTTAAACAAAATGAAGCGGGAAAGTGGAGTATCAGAAATGTTTGTATCTGAGGTGCACGTCTGTCGACTCAGACGTTCTGCGGAGAAGATTCAAGGCCACACAGACGATTTGACACACGACCATAAATTGGGCTTTAAGGAGACTAGTGCCCCCACTAGGGACCTACCCTTCCCTGGTGCCTCCTCGGCTCAGGTACTCCAAGGTCTAAACCTGGTCTAAACCTGGTCTAGTCCTGGTCTAGTCTGGTCTAGTCCTGTATCTCCCTCTAGGTGCCTGTGTGGACACCCAGGTCTCAGACAGATCTAACCCTGGTGTAAACCTGGTCTAAACTGGGTCTAACCCTGGTCTAAACTGGGTCTAACCCTGGTCTAAACTGGGTCTAAACTGGGTCTAAACTGGGTCTAACCCTGGTCTAAACTGGGTCTAAACTGGGTCTAAACTGGGTCTAACCCCGGTCTACCCGTGTCCGTGTTGCAGGAGCGTGTGTGGACTCTCAGGCGTCAGACGGAGCTTCTCCTCTGTTCTTGGCGTCTCAGGAGGGACATGAGGCGTGTGTGTCTGAGCTCCTCTGTCACGGCGCAGATCCAAACCTGAGCTGCAGCGCCGAGTGGAACCAGCTCCCTCTGCACGCCGCCGCACAGTTTGGACACACAGGGTACAAAAACACAATATTTATATATATTTATATATTTATATAACAATATTAATATTTCTATTTCTATTTATTCTTCACACAAACAGAATCCTCTGCACTGGGGCGTCTAAAATTCTTTTAACCAAACACAGACACAAACACAGGTCTTCACCAGACATTATTCACTCTGTCCACACTCAGGGTGTAAACTTGTCCTGTAGCCACAGCTGCCCTGGGACAGACTGACGGGAGCGAGGCCTTAAATCACTCACACACATTCAAACACCGACACAGTCACAGGAAATCAGGTCCAAAGAAAATCTGTTTTATATTCTCTAGATTAGAACCTTGTATTTGGTTCCATATCTGGCCAAAATATTTGGGTCCAAATAAATGAATATTTGGAGTTTGCTCACGACTTGAAACTGTCCCTGATGCAGAGTTCTGATCCAGGTTCTCTGGATGTTCTGTTGTTCATGTTCACTCCTCCGTCTCTCGTCAGGATCCTGCAGAAGCTGATCCCGCTCACAGACCGCTCCATAGGCCACGCCCCCGGACAGGTGAGCCCGCTGTACCTGTGCGTGCAGAGTGACCAGAGGGGGGCGCTGCAGCTGCTCCTCCGGGAGGGCTTCAGTCCAGACGCCCAGGACTGTGAAGAGCTGCTGGGCCTGAAGTCTCCTCTGACCCAGGCCGTGTCCCTGACTCTCACCGACCACCGCCGCGGGTAAGAGTCCTGGGTTAGTCCTGGTTTAGACCTGGTTTAGTCCTGGTTTAGTTCTTTCTTTCTCTGTTCTTTCAGTCTGGACTCGGTGAGGATTCTTCTGTCGGCTGGAGCTTCAGTCCTCAGGGAGACCTGGGCTCTGGTTTTAAAATCAGACCAACCGGACCTGCTCCAACTGATCCTGGACTTTAGGACTTTCCCCGGACTTTCACCCCACTGCCAGGTCTCTCTTGGTCCTGGTCCTGGTCCTGGTCCCGGTCTCAGTCCCGGTGTTGGGTCCAGGAGGTTCTTGTCGGAGCAGGAGGTGCAGGCTCTGCTGGAGGAGGCCGTGGGTCAGACTCAGACGGGGCTGATGTGGATCCCTCTGCTGCTGAACGCCGGACTAGAACCGAACACCCTGATGGACCAAAGAACGTAAAAACTAAAGAACTGATCTAAAAACTAAAGAACATAAGAACAGATCTAAAAACTAAAAACTAAAGAACATAAGAACAGATCTAAAAACTAAAGAACGTAAAAACTAAAGAACGTAAAAACTAAAGAACTAAAGAACGTAAAAACTGTAAGAACAAGAACTAAAGAACTAAAAACTAAAGTAAAACTAAGAACACTAAAAACTAAAGTAAAAACTAAAGAACGTAAGAACAGATGTAAAAACCGTGGCAGATGTGTGTCCTGAAGCTGCTCTCTTGACCCTCTGTGTTGTTGTGTTGTTGTGTTTTGTTTCAGGTGCTCAGAGGCTCCTGGTCCCGTCCTGAACCTCCTGCTCCAGAACTTGGACTGGTCCGGTCTGGGTCCAGATCTGAGACTCGTCCTGGACCGGAGACGGACCGAGCAGACCTGGGTCCCTCTGCCGCTCTTCGGTACCAAACACAGATTCACACACGAGAAAGAAACGGATTCATCTGAACAAATATGAACTAACGCTCTTCTCTCTCTCTCTCTCTCTCTCTCTCTGTCCTCCTCTGCTCTTCTCTCTCTCTCTCTGTTTTTCTCATTTCTATCGTATTCCCTCCGTCTCTCTCTGCTCTTCCCTCTCTCCCTCGTATCTCCTTTTTTTTTCTTTTCTCCTCCCCCCTCTCACTTCTTCCCTCTGCTCTCTCTCCTTCCTCTCCCTCCTTTGCCTCTCCTTGCCCTCCCTCTCTCCCTCTCTCTCTCTAAACCCTCCTCCTCTCTTTTCCTCCATCTTTATCTCCCTCCTTCTCTCTCTCCCTCCCTCACCTCTCCCTCTTTCTCCTCTCTTCTTCCTCCTCCCTCTCCCTCTCCTCCTCTCCTCCTCCTCTCTCCCCCTCACTCTTTCTCTCCCTCTTTCCCCTTTCTCTGCTTCTTCCTCTCCCTCTCCTTCTCTCTCTCCCTCCCTCACCTCTCCCTCTCTTCTCTTCCTCTCTCCTCCCCTTTCTCTCTCTTTCTCTCTCTCTCTCCACTCTTCTGTATCTCTTCCTCTTTCCCTCCCTCTCTTCTCTTACTCCTCCTCTCTCTCCTCCCTTCCTCTTTCTCTCTCTTTTTCTCTTTCTCCTCTCCCTCTCCTCTCTCTTTCTCTCCCTCTCCCTTTATCCTCCCGCTCTCCCTTTCTTCTCCTCCTCCCTCTTTCTCCTTCTCTTCTTCTCCTCCCTCTTTCTCCCTCTCTTCTCCTCCTCCCTCTTTCTCCTCCTCTCTCCTCCCTCTTTCTCCCTCTCTTCTCTTTCCCCTTTCTCTCCTCTCCTCTCCCTCTCTCCCCCTCGCTCTTTCTCTCCCTCTTTCCCCTTTCTCTCCTTCTTCCTCTCTCCCTCTCTTCTCCTCCTCCCTCTTTCTCCTCTCTTCTCCTCCCTCTTTCTTCCTCTCCTTCTCTCCTCCCTCTTTCTCCTCTCTTCTCTTTCCCCTTTCTCTCCTTCTTCCTCTCCCTCTCCTTCTCTTCTCCTCCTCTCTTCTCCCTCCCTCTCTCCCCTCGCTCTTTCTCTCCCTCTTTCTCCTCTCTTCTTCCTCCTCCCTCTTTCTCCTCTCTTCTCCTCCTTCTCTTCTCCTTCTTCTCCTCCTCCTCCTCCTCCTCTCTCTCTCTCCGTCTGTCAGATTCCGTCCCCAGTCTTTTTCACTTGTGCAGGTCGAGCATCAGAAAACTTTTGGGTTCGGCTTCGTTGATGAAAACTACAATTTTACAGCAGCTTCCTGTTCCTGTTTCGTTACATCACTTCCTGCAGTTCAGAGACGTCCAATCATCAGCTGACGTCTCCTCTGCACAGAAACACTGAAATCTGAAATATCTCTTATAAAATAAAACAAATTAATTTCACTAATGAGACGGTGACGAGTTTTATTGAAATGTTTCAGCTCGGTGTGTTTCTTCTGACACAAGTTACACAGGGTTTTTCTCATGAAATATTTAATTTTCCTTTAAGATGAAATAATAGTGATATATCTTCATTTATAAAGCAAAAATCAATACAAAAGCATACAAATAACAAACAAAAACAATGATGCAACAATTCAATTTATTATAATAAATCAATAAAAAGAAATAGAATTAAAAGAAATAAGGAAAAAAATCAAGGTAAATGAAGACCAACCAATAAAAAAATAGTCTTAAGAAGTGTGTGAAGAACCCCTCAGTCGTCCAGGTAGAATCCATGAGGAGAAAAATTCAGTTTGTCGACTGGACAAAAGTTAGTTTGGTTGAAGACGTTTCGCAGCTCATCCAAGTTGCTTCTTCAGTTTCAGAACTCGACAAACTGAATTTTTCTCCTCATGTCTTAAGAAGTGATTTAAAAGATGATCCTGATGGTACGAGTCTTTTCTCCTCAGGCAGGTCGTTCCAAAGCTGAGACGCCCCCAGACTGAAAAAGGCTCCAGCACCTTCGACCGGAACCTGGACTTTGGAACAGACATGGGGACCTGAGGAGCTTTTATTTTTTATTATTTATTTATTTTTAATTATTTATTTGAGCAAGGCAAAACAAAATCAACAACACTAACAAAAAACAAACCAAAAACAAGGATATGTACATGTACGTATTTGGGACCTGGTGTTCAAAAGAAGGAGGATGAAGTTTTTAAAAAAACGTATGTCTTACACCAAATGTTTTACACAAATGTGGTCAGATCTAAGGCTGAAGAGGAACAGACACAGAGACCTGAGGATCTGCGGCTCGTACAGGGTTAAAAGTTCTGAATGTAACTTGGTGCAAAACTTAAACGAGCTTTAAAAGTGATCAGTAAAATCTTAAACTCAATTCTCAAACACAAAGGAGCCAGTGAAGGGAAGTAAAACAGGCTCATGTGTTGGTGTTTGTTAAACCCCGAGAGGAGCCGAGCTGCTGCTTCTGAACCAGTTGGAGGCAGGAGACGGATTTGGAGTTGAGGCTGGAGAGCACTAACAACGAGAACTAATGAACAAAAAATTAAATTTAAGCTAAAACAATTAGGGTAGGACAGGATAACATTTTTTTTACTTTACCCTTGTCCTTTTGAGCAACAGAAATGGTCCCAAACATGAACGTGTACATATCCTTATTTTTGTGATGTACCTTGCTCAAAAAAAAAAATAAATAAATAAAATAAAAAATGTGAAGTAATAAAGAACAGATTCTAAAATAACATCATAATAACAAGATATAATTCATGTTTTATATTGAAACACAGGATGAGGATAACCACTCTGCCACCGCAACACATGGTTCAATTTTGCTGTATCATTTTCATTAAAGCTGCTCTATGTAACTTTTCTGTTTGAGGATTTGCCACCTTCTCGTCTCCATGGAGATCCAGTCTAATCCATTTTATTTCTACAGCACAGACCTGGTCCTTGTCCAGCTCCGGGTCCACGTACGGTACTTTGATCGACTCTGATTGGCCCGTTTAAGATCATTTTGAATTACAATATAAACATATTTTATCATTTGAGCTCATGCCTGGACTAAAGCTGTGTTGATTTTATTTTAGAGGTGTTTTTTTTAACATGTGGTTGTCAAAATATCCAGTACATATTCAATATAAATGTACACACATGCATAAATACATATAAACATACACAAACAAATATATTTTCGTTTTTGGTCATACAAACTAATAATAATGATAAAGAAGGTATGAAAGTTTATCTTTTATGATGGTGCAGAATCGACAGAGGCGGCGCTACCTTTAGGCAACAGCAGGCGGCAGCTTAGGGCCCCTGAACCTGGAGAGGCCCCCAAACAACTGTCCTCAGTGTCACTAATGACCTAAGAGCAATTAGATTTTCTCTTAATATAACATAAAATGAGAGTAGTTTTACTTTTAAATTAAAAACATTTAAAAAACCCATCAAAATAGAATCTGATTATCAAATTTATTTTAACTGTCAAAGCGTTCGCCCTTTCACGTTAGAATGGACGAGTCGGCTTCACCCTGATCTGAACAGAATCATAATCATAATCGTATGTAATGGATGTAAAGAAAAATGTAATCGTACAAGTTAAAAAAAAAAAAAAAAAGGACTTCCAGCTCTGGTTTTCAAGTAGGCGACCGAACTGGTAAGACAAGTTTCCAATCCACCATAATTTAAATAAAGATGTGTGTGTCTCAAGAACAACAGGAAAAAAATAAACAATAAATACACAAAAATACAAAAAAATAATAATAAAAAATACCCACAAAAACAACAAATGGTGCATTATAGTGAGGACCCCAAACTCAAGTTCACCTCGAGCCCCCAAATTGTTAACTCCGCCACTGATAATTGAACCGTGAAAATGAAAAATGTAAGATTTTATTTTATTATTTTTCGTTTATGTTTGTAACAAACTAATTATGATAAAGAAGGCGCAGAAGTTTATTGTTTATCAAAATAAGCAAAATGAGAATGAAGAATGTAAGGATTTTTTCATTTTTAATTAGTAATCATCTGTTATTTATGTTCTGACGCTGTTTAAATATAAAACATGAATTATATCTTGTTATTATGATGTTATTTTACACTCTTGTTCATTATTCCACATTTTTAATTAATAATCATCTGTTGTTTATGTTCTGACTCTGTTTAACCTACTGCCGTGGAATCCTACTCTCTGATTGGCTCTCAGCGCTGTCACTCACGGCCTCTGCGTCACTGATTGGCTGCTGCCACGCTGCGGGGCGTATCTCCGGTTTGACAGGTGCATCGCGTCCAGAGAAGAATATCCGACATTTCCGACATTTTTGTGCGTTTAAACGTGTCCAGATGTGACCGAGACCCGGCGGGACCATCGACAGGATATGCCTTAATGTATTACATCCGTACGTAACCACACGCGCTTCTGTTTACTGTTTTAGAGCGGTTTTTGGGGCGGTGTTTTGTTAGCCGCTAGCTTCATTTTAGGCTCAGCGTGAAGCTAGCTGCGGCTAACGTCCACTCTCACTTTCACAAACAAACCCGCTCAAAGATGACATTTCTGCCTCTAAAGCTCTACATTTATAAACACCGAGGCTTTATTTCCATGCAGCGGTGTAAATAAGACGCGATCGAAGACTGAAATTGGTTTATTTTTTATTGAATGCGCCAAAAACGTAAGATTTTCCACGTGATTTGCTCCTAACAGCTGGAATTGGATTTTGAACTTTGACCCGGGGTTAGGATCCGAGTTTAACCCGGGACAGTCCCAGTTTAACCCGGGACAGTCCCAGTTTAACCCGGGACAGTCCCAGTTTAACCCGGGACAGTCCCAGTTTAACCCGGGACAGTCCCAGTTTAACCCGGGACAGTCCCGGCTTTGAGCCTGTGTCCCCAAAACCAGTGATTTGTCAGTGACATCAGGACTAAACCAGGACTAAACTAGGACTGAAACAGTACTAAACTAAGGCTAAACCAGGACTAAAATAGAACTAAACCAGGACTAAACTAAGACTAAAACAGGACTACACCAGGACTGTCTGGGTCTAGACCTGGTTTAGTCCTGATTTAGTCTTGGTTTAATCTTGGTCCAGCTCATTCAGTCCTGGTTCAGTCCTGGTTTAGACCTGGTTCAGTCCTGGTTAACTCCTGGTTTAGTCCTGGTTTAGTCCTGGTTCAGTCTGAGTCTAGTTTAAATAAGTGAAGAGTATAAATAAAACATTGACTGTAACAGAATCAGAGGCGTCGGGACTCAGACACTTTTACCTGAGCAACTTTACTTACTAAACTGTACTTTTATAGTACAGCAGTACTTTTACTCCTACGTGAGTAATACTTTTAGTGAAGAAAGAGTACTTTTACTCCCAGCTGTGAGTGAGTCTAACGGGACAAATGATTGATTGAAATGATTCTGACGTTTGTGTTTCTCTTTCAGATGTGATTCAGTTTGTCTCAGTTTTGTGTCCAGATTTCATGTTTTGTCCTTCAAATTATTTTAAATTCAAATTATATTAAATTCAAATAATAAATTCGATGTCACGTCCAGACAGTGCCGCTTTACGTGACTCTTACTTGAGCAGTACTTTTGCCTTAGTCTTTGTACTTCTACTTGAGTAATATTGTTTTGAAGTAGCGTTGCTCTTACTTCAGTTTACTTTAACATTCCCTGACGTCCTGGATGAGGAGGATGTGCTTATTGTGGTATTTTCCTTATCACTTTTATTGGGAGTCAAAGATCACGTTTATTTTCCTCGTGCTGTTTTTCTGTGAGTTCTTCAGACTGTAGAACGATCAGACTCACTGTTCTGTCTCTTTCTCTGGGTTTTCATCAGAAATATCCAAATGTCAAATCCACAAATGTTTTTTTTTTTCTCCTCGATTATTTCTGTCAGTGAGAAGCTCCATTCTCCAACCACACCTCAACATCTGGGAGGGCATCTGACGCACTAAACTAATAGTAAACCAGGACAAAACCAGGACAAAACCAGGTCAAAACCAGGACTAAACCAGGACTAACCAGGACTAAACCAGGACTAAACCAGGACTAAAATGGTCCGTTGTGTAATTAATGTGGACATCAGATGTAACATGTTTTTGGTTTTGGTTTTTGCTTCACTGAACAAACCGAGTGATTTAATTCTAGTTTAGATGTTGTTTTGTTCTCCTCAAGTCCCAGTCTAGTCTGGGTCTAGAACTGGTTCAGTTCTGCTTTAGTCCTGGTTTAATCTTGGTCCAGCTCAGTCAGTCCTAGTTCAGTTCCACCCTTAGTCCTTTTTCAGTCCTTCTTCAGTCCTTTTTTAGTCCTGCTTTAGTCCTGTTTTAGTCCTGCTTTAGTCCTGCTTTAGTCCTGCTTTAGTCCTGGGGAGATCTTCTTTAATCCAACAGATAAATCCTTCTCTTAAACTGTGGTTGTGTTTTTTGTGTGTTGTGTTTTTGTGTTTTCCAGCGGAGGCGCGGATGGAGGAGGTGCGTTCCCGTCCCTACATCATCCCCGTGCGGCCGGGCGGAGACATGAACCCCGCCCGCCGCAGAGACTCTGGAGTGTGGCACCAAACGCGCAGCTTACTCTACAAGAACCTGCTCATCAAGTGGAGGACCAAGCAGCAGTCGCTCCACGTGAGTCCCGTTGGTTTATGTTTGTGCGTAAAAATCTACATCCGCTCTACGCACACTTCCAGTTCTCCGCTTTCCCGCTTCATTTTCTAAACACGAACTCCAGTTTTAAATCATCGCCTCTTAGTGTTGTGGCGGTGAATTACTTGGCGGCGCACGGACGTCGACGCAGATCCACGATTCAAAAACGACGGCGGCAGAGTGCGATGAGCTGATGCAGAAATATAAAACGGCCTTGAGGAGAAAAGCTGAAGTTTTTGTTTTTCCAGGAGCTGATTCTTCCTCTTGTGTGTTTTCAGGAGCTGATTCTTCCTCTCCTGCTGCTCGGTCTCCTCATCCTCATCAGCACGTTGAACCCTCACGTGTACTATGGCAGCGTGAGCACCATGGAGCTGGAGCAGGACAGTCCGTTCCTCAAAGCTCTGGGCTACACTCCCATCAACAACATCACGTCCAGCATCATGGAGGAGGTCGCCCAGGAGCTGCGTATGTTCTTCTATTAACGGTTCCCCCTCTCTCCTCTCTCCTTTTATATTTCTCCCTCTCTCCTCCCCTCTGTCTGAGTAAAATGTGACGTCTCTGTCTCCCTCTCTTTCTTTCTCAGACATAGAGGAGCACCTGGAGATGTTTGCCACGGAGGAGGACCTGGAGAACGCGTCTCTGTATGAACCCTCCAGTTTCGTGGGAGTCGTGTTTTTGGACAAAGCCGCCACGTCGTACAGACTCAGATTCCCGTACAACCAGCTGCCCCTGCCCAGCGACTACACCGAGACATTTGGTACTGACCTTTCACCGTTTACCACAAACTTTTCACACCACAAGCCCCAAAACACTCCCCCTGACGACTAGGGACGCACCGAGTATGAGTGTTCTGTACTTGCAGATACAGTGAGTGTGTTCACATGCACATCAGTGTCCCGGTTATTATCCATATCCCGGTATGTCAGTATTTCTGAATAGGGATGGGCATGATTAATCGATAATTGATCATTAAGAATTTCATCGATTACGTTCATTTTAATCGACAAACCGAATGTAGGTTGCTGTGTGTAGTGTGACCAAACAGGTCTGTACATGTCGGTCAGTCTGCAGTAACGTACTGAAGTGCAAACGCGAACGATGTGCAACGATGATTTGTAGAAGAAATTCCACACTTTCCGTTGCGTTGGGACAAGTGTGAGTCCATGTGCACAGTGGATAAAGCAGCACATATGTTTCTGTGTCCAGTGGGAAAAAGTTTTTCCAGGTGAGAGTCGCTCAATGTGGATGACGAGGCCCCGCCCCCCTCCCCCCGTACGCTGTCCTGGTTTTGACAAACACAAATCTGGTCACACTGACCTGTATTCACCTGAGTCATGTCTTTTAATCCAACACAAGTTGAACCACATCAGCGACACAAGAGCTGGAGTTTTATCTTCACTTAGTTTATGTAAATTAGTGATGTGGTTTTAAGTTTTGTTTCTGTGAGATTTGAACAAAACTGAATTAAACACATTATAATGTCAAACAGCTGATGTGGATCTAGAGTCGTTATGTTTATATGTCGTAAAGTTGAATTTATTGATGCAGATTAGTGCAGATAGTAATAATAATGATGATCATTTTAATATAAAAAAGTTAATGATTAATCGATAATTGATCGTTAATTCTTCTGATGATCGATTAAGAAAATTTCATCGAATGACCGTCCCAAATTCTGAATGTGCTGTTCACATGAGCGCTGAGATACTCCTGTCCCTGTGACATGATCACGGTCGTACGTGTGCAGGTCGTGCGTGTGCAGGTGGTACGTGTGCAGGTGGTACGTGTGCAGGTCGTACGTGTGCAGGTGGTACGTGTGCAGGTCGTACGTGTGCAGGTCGTACTCCTGTGTGGAGCGTGTGTCTGCGTAAAGATCCAAACGAACAGTAGAAGTAATGTTTGTAAAGTTCACCATAATCCTCCTCTGTCCTGGTAAAACCCGGGAGGAAAAGTGTGAATTGTTGTTCACTTTGGGAACCACAGACTCCCAACACTTTATACTGTTTTACTTAGTAATTTTTGTTCTCTTAACTTTGTCGTAACTGTGATGTTTCATTTCGAGTCTTTCTTTGTCTCGTCTCCTGCAGCGAACTGTCTCTCCAGCTCCACAAACTGCAGAGCTGCAAACTACTGGTACTCAGGCTTCACCAGGCTCCAGAGTCTGATCGACGCTGCCATCATCCAGGTCTCAACACACACACACACACACACACACACACACACAGACACACACACACACACACACACACACACACACACACACACACACACACACACACACACACACACACACACACACACACACACACACACAGCACACACACACACACACACACACACACACACACAGACACACACACACACACACACAGACACACAGCACACACACACACACACACACACACACACACACACACACACACACACACACACAGCGCAGGAGTTTACCAATCAAAATGAAGTTTTATCTGGGTAACTGATTGTTTTCTAATACTATCGCACTTATAATGAATCTGCTTGAAATAAATAAAACAAAACAAAGGCAAAAGCTGCGTTGATTTTAAATTATATTCACCCACTTAGTGCAACATAAATGATAAAGTTCATAACAGCACCTCTTTAATGTTTATTGTCCCCGTGTGCCCAACTATCGTCTTTCATCTGTGGGACTGATTCAGTCCAGTGTCCTCACAACGGTCACAATCCCACCATGTGTTCGAACAGAATGTTAATCTGTTTAATCCGATATTGGCGATCTCCAAAAAACTGTATCCACAGTGTCGCAGCAGAGGAGTGAGGTCCTCGACACACACCTCAACAACTGCGATAAGGAAAGTACAGGGACGAGTCTCAGTGGCCTGAAGAGCTGGTCCTCTCTATTTAATCCTCTGCACGTTTTAAGTCGTCCAAATCCACTTCAGTTCAACTCGAGCAGTAGTCCGTGTTATGTCTCTAGGTCCTGAGAAAGCGGCAGCAGCACAGCGGTGAGTCGGGGCGGCGTGCGCGCTCACACGTGCACTCAAATATACCAATAGGACGGCACACCTCAGCGCATCGGATAAACAATAACAAAAAATAGTGGCCTTTAGAAATAAAGAAAAAATCCACACCTTATGTCGCCTGTGCTACATACTCATGGGTTTTATCTTTCTTTCTTTTTTAGGCGCCATTTTGAGGATTCTTGACCTTTCATAAGATATAATATTTGGTTTAGGATTAAACAACTCAGAGCAGAGCCTTCCTCTGGTTCAGGCTACGTTTATATGTGACACTCTGAACAGAAGACGCAAAAGTGGCGTCGCGTATTCACTTTTTATTCTGCATCTAGACGAGCGTTTTCAGGAGGAAATCTGTGTGCAAACGGTGACACAAAAGTGTGTGGAATTTGATTGTGTGTGGACGCCAGGCGGCTCGGTGGTGACACTTGGTGATGTATGTGACATAAACGTGTACGTGACCTGAGTTTTGCGTCTTGGGCAGTGTAGACGGAAACACTACAGCGGAGCCTATTCAACTCTTCCACTCTGGAGGGTGGCTTTAGATTTTTGCGTTTTTAAGCCCCAAAGACAGATGTCACTGTCTAAACGAAAGACTCTTCCCATCAAATATTCTGTGGTTTTTACCCTCAAGTGTTTTCTTGTGTAAACAGGCCCTGAATCTGTTCATGCTCCCTCTCTCTGTCTCTCCCTCTCTCTGTCTCTCCCCCTCTCTGTCTCTCCCTCTCTCTGTCTCTCCCCTCTCTGTCTCTCCCTCTCTCTCTCTCTGTCTCTCCCTCTCTTTCTCTCTCTCTCCCTCTCTCTGTCTCTCCCTCTCTCTCTGTCTCTCCCTCTCTTTCTCTGTCTCTCCCTCTCTTCTCTGTCTCTCCTCTCTTTCTCTGTCTCTCCCTCTCTTTCTCTCTCTCTCTCCCTCCCTCAGATGCAGACGAAGCGCTCGGTGTGGAGTGAGCTGGACTTCCGTGTGGTGATGATGGGTCAGCCCGGTTCTGTGGAGGTGCAGAAGTTTCCTCACGCTCTCATCTCCATCTACCTGGTCCTGGCCTTCACGCCCTTCGTCACCTTCCTCATCGTCAACGTGGCGGCGGAGAAAGAACATCGCCTCAAAGACACCATGACCATGATGGGGCTCTACGACACCGCCTTCTGGTGAGGAACTGCGTCAGATGCCCTCCCACCTAAAGGCCGCCGCACACTACAGGAGAATTTGCCCGATTTTGGCCGTGATTTCTCCTCCCCGACCTTTTCCTCCTGTGTGATTTTAAAGTGTCAAATCATAACCACCAAACATCAGCAACGCTGCGATAACAGCCGATAAAACAGAGCATCAGGGGCAGAGGAGACAGACACAGAGACGCAAAATACAAACTCAGGAAACAGTGAAAATAATGATTAGATTAGATCTTTATTCCTCACCTCTCGTAAAGTGGTCAATTTAAACCGCAGCGTCTCATCCACATTATCCAGAGAAATTGTCCTCACAAATAACGACCCCAGTTCACAAAACTGTGCTGTGAATCCAGTTTGAAGTGTTTTATAAAAGTGAAAAGGCCAGAGTATTGTATTTTTCGGACAATAAGGTGCACCACGTTATAAGGCGCATTAAGCAAAACAAAACAGATATGTCAAATATTCTTCAACTCATTTACAAAAACTCTCAAAACTGTTCAGTTGTAACACATAAAATACAAAACAACACACTCACTTTTTCAGTTCATTTCTCTTCCATAAATCCATCAAACTCTTCATCTTCAGTGTCTCGTTGCTGTTTCTTCTCTGTTCAATGATGATTCGGGCCTTCGTGAACCTCGGACGACACTTGACACTGATCCTGAGCCCGGGCGTCCGTGACCCGTCGGCAGATCGTGACAAACTCGCCCGGTGTTTCCTCCCTGTCTCGGTGAACGTGTTTTACTCCGTGTGGCTCCTGACTTCAGCAGCCCTCCGCTCCAACAATCCATCAAGCGGAGCGGCTTTATAGCACAACCAGAATTAATACATAAGACACTGGATTATAAAGCGCACGGTTGATTTTTGAGAAAATTTAAGGATTTTAAGTGCACCTTATAATCTGAAAAATACAATAGTTCCTCACACGTGTCTGTTTTATGGATCGAGCTGAAGCTGCAGATTCTCCACAGTGACTCACATTTAAAATCTCACCAGATTCTCCTCGTGTCTGTGGTGTGCACTTTTTGTCGCACGTCGTTTAAGACCGGAAAATCCTGTAGTGTGTGGTGACTAGGGACGGGCATTTGATGAAATTTTCTTAATCGATCGTCGAGAGAATTAACGATCGATTATCGATTAATCATTAATGTTTTTATATAAAAATGATCATCATTATTATTACTATCTGCACTAATCTGCATAAATAAATTCAACTTTACGACATATAAACATAACGACTCTAGATCCACATCAGCTGTTTGACATTATAATGTGTTTAATTCAGTTTTGTTCAAATCTCACAGAAACAAAACTTAAAACCACATCACTAATTTACATAAACTAAGTGAAGATAAAACTCCAGCTCTTGTGTCGCTGATGTGGTTCAACTTGTGTTGGATTAAAAGACATGACTCAGGTGAATACAGGTCAGTGTGACCAGATTTGTGTTTGTCAAAACCAGGACAGCGTACGGGGGGAGGGGGGCGGGGCCTCGTCATCCACATTGAGCGACTCTCACCTGGAAAAACTTTTTCCCACTGGACACAGAAACATATGTGCTGCTTTATCCACTGTGCACATGGACTCACACTTGTCCCAACGCAACGGAAAGTGTGGAATTTTTTCTACAAATCCTGGTTAAATCCACATTTGTGCTTCGGTTCGTTACAGACTGACCCACTGTTTGTGTCTCGCTCCTTCTGATGCAGAGACACATGTACACACCTGTTTGGTCACGACACACAAACATACATTCAGTTTGTCCATTAAAATTAACGTAATTCATGAAATTCTTAATGATCAATTATCGATTAATCGACTAATCATGCCCATCCCTAGAGGCGACCTAAAGTAAATAGCAGTAAGATGGAGAATTACACAGATGTGATTATGTAGAACACCGGAGTAACTTATTTACAGTGAATGGGAATAAGTGTAAAGTAAAACTGTCAACTTAAAGCTTTTGATACAATTACTGACATGTGTTTTCAGTGAGTAAATGTAACTCTTATTATTTAATCTGTTTTATGTATTATTTATTTAAGCCTCTGTTGTCAGACGTGTGTGTTTAACCCTGTGTTTGGTGTTTGTCTCGTGTGTTTCCTCAGGTTGTCTTGGGGGCTGCTCTACGCTGCTCTGGTCACCTCCATGTCGGTGCTCATGTCCATCATCGCCACGTACACGGCGCTTTTCCCAAACAGCCACTTCCTGGTCATCTTCCTCCTCATCTTCCTCTACGGCATCTCCTCTGTGAGTCCCACAAACCTCTGTCCTCTGTGACCGAGCCGTTTAACACACACACACACACACACACACACACACACACACACACACACACACACACACACACACACACACACACACACACACACACACACACACACACACACACACACACACACACACACACACACACACACACACACACACACACACACACACACACACACACACACA